AGAAGTGCTCGTTATTTTCGTTAGTGATACTCGGACAACTAAACCGAACGCTGTGTAGCGGATTTTGTAGCTGCTTGATGAGTTTGGCCGATTCAGCCTTGTTCCGTGAAGAACAGAAGTTTTGGTAAGATTGGAATTTACCCCTACGAATTGATTTGCTGTAAGTAGATTGGGCATCTTTTAGATGTTTGTACAATTCAATTGAGTCTTTGTCGTCTTCAAAATTTGATTTGGCCTCTAATAGTTTGTCTCTGTTTTCTTGAATCTCTTCATTCCACCATTCTGCTTCTGATATTTTTGCTTTATAGTATATTTTTGAGGTGGATTTTTTGATGCTTTCAGAGATGGACTGATGGAGGGATGAAGCCTTGTAATTGAGTTCGTCCAGGTTGTCTGCATGATGATTCCAGTCTACATTTTGAAGTTGGGGGGTCAGTTCTATTCGGAGCTTATCATAATCTATGCAAGTTTTCTTTGTCGTTGGTCTGAATCTTTTACCTTGTTTCGATTGATTGAGTGTGAAAGTAATCAGCTTATGGTCGGAGTACATGTTCTTATCAGATACTTTCCATTCTGCAATATCAGCCGAAATGTTTGAAGAAGAAAGAGTCAGGTCAATGATGCTGTTAAGGCCACGGCTGCACCAAGTGGGCTCCGATCCAATGTTGAGAAGTATCAGATTCTTATTGTTAATGAGGTCACTTATAATGCGACCTTTCGGTGAGGTTTTGTTGCTTTTCCATAGTTCGTGGTGGGCGTTGAAGTCTCCGCCTATAACCAGTTTCATGGAGTTGTCCCGACACCAATCTATCAGCGGTGGGAGTTCCTCCGGGAGAGTTTTGTTGTCAGGATGCCAATAGATGGATGAAACTACTAGGTTGTCGAACCGCACTGTGATCATGTCTCTGTTGGAGAATCTATGAAGTGTTGAAGATATAGGGGCGAAGTTGGTAGATGTTATAATGGCTGCTCGTGGAGCTCCTGTTTTAGTCGAGTAGAACGCCGAGTGTTGGTGGTGGAAACCATCTAATTTGGAGTCTTTGCGTTTGAGCGGAGGTTCGCTAATTATGACAATGAATGGAGCTGAGGCAAGAAGTTCGGGTCCAAGGAAGGATGTGGGAACCAGAGATTTGTGACAATTTAGTTGGAGGAATTGTATAAGTTGCCTGTTTACATTGATTGCAGAGGTTTGATTCTTATTCATGTTAAATCGCTGAAATGTTAACAAATAGAGGACGGGTAAAAGTAAAAAGTATAGTAATCTGTAAAGTATAGAGGAGGAAAATAAGCAATAAGTTAATAAAAATATAAAATGTCAACTTGTTTTTAGCAAAGATGAATCAAGGAGGTATAATTATGAAAAGGTAATGTCTAACAAGAAGACTCATAGTCAAAGAGTTAAGAGAAGGGTAGAAGCCATGACAATTGATGATCTACCGGTTTAGGCGAAGAGGCCGGATCGCGACTCGTGTTGGTAAAATAAGGGAAGGCAGGAGGTGGCCCTACGTGTTTAATCAGGTGATACAGTTGATGAATAACTGCCACGAGTGTAATAAGTTCTCCTTGGTGAGTAATTAAATGTTAAAATGAATCAAGCGGTAGATAATCTGTGAGATAAATTCCCAAGTAGAAATTAATTATAAAGATAAACTCTATGAACGGGTTGTGTGGCAGGCAATACTTAACAATTACACAAAATAAATGTGCAGTTCAAAATTAAAATAAAAAAATAAAATAAACAAGCGTAAAAAGTATGAGGAGAAGTAACGAGAGTGGGAGTGATAAAGTCACATCCAAATAGTGAGTGAAGAAGGTGATTACAAACCTTGACCAGAAGTGTCTAATGAAGTAAGTCAGTCAGGCAAACTCTTCCTTAAATGCTGATATGCGTCGTCTCCATCCCAGAAAATATGAAGATGACCCAGTGAAAAAGTGCAGAAATCGGCCGAAAATATCAAATACTAGAAACAGTTAAAAAGTGACAGAATTCAAACACAAGGAAAATTTATGACATAGATAATAATAGAAAATATCTTATGATATTGATGATTTAGATAACAAGCGATTTCCCGGATTTTATACATTATATGCAATATGTGTTAAGTAGTTAGTAGCTCGCGCTTTTCTTTACTTGATCATTGATCATGATGCGGTACAACGTACTAACTTCTCGTTTTGTTGTGAGTGCTTGATTTGTTATACGAAATGGACCATAAATGTTATTATGAGTTGCACTACCTACTACGGATTTCACGACTTTTAACTGCATATCACCACACAGGCGCAGGCGCTACGATGTCCGGTCATTTAACTTTTTAAATTTGACTAAATGACAACCCCTCCATTTTGTGTTCCGTAGCGCCCCAAGAATGGTGAATAAAGAACCATTATTTAATATTTTGACCAACATGAAACTATCGTTAATTTTAATTTTAAATTTTAAAAGGCATGGCAATCACTACGGTTGATGGAAATCTAGCGTCCGCTAACCGGCGCAATTCTTGTTGACAAAGTAATAGCTTTTAAAATTAATTTTAAACCATTAAGGAGTAATTTTATTCAAAATCTGAGGAAATTTTTACCTTAGATAATTGTTCAAGCATTCTGAAAATCTACCGGAAAATTTTTCTAGCTTGCTCCTTCATAAAGATATTCGTCATTGAAGTTTGTGCTTTTTTGAAGAATTATTTTATAAAAACGTCAATTTTGCGATTTAGTATTCTCTGGTGTTGGGCCATGCCTTGGGTTGTGGAGCTCAGTTCTGCTTCCTATAGGTATAAATTGTGCATTAGGCTAGTTTTAAAGTTGAAAATCGAAAAGTTGCACACGTTGGGAAACGCCCAAATTGATAGAAAATCGCTAAAATCACTGAAAATTGCTGTTTTCGTCATTTTCTGTCAACTTTAGAGTGCCGTTGTGATTACAGTTCTTCTTGAAATACTTTGAAACTTTGCATGCTTATCAAGCTATATATAAAACAATTACATGCAAAAATGTACGGCGATTCAATATTGGATGCGCACGTAACGTCCGCTCAAAGTTTGCACGTGCGAAAGGTGAGAATTTTGCTCATTCGTGATTTCCAACAAATTCTGCTTTGCCACGACAGTTTAATGTCATCAATATGAATATAATGCCAACTTGAATGAGTATTAAGTGGCATATTCAGTCAGTGATCGACCGATATGCTTCCCTAAACACAAGGAAATGTTTTTAAAGGAAAAAATTCGAAATCGTTGAAACTTCCTCCTTATTAACGAAGATATCAGTTTATATTTCGACTTTATAAAGTACCCTGACATTATAATCAAAAAGAGATGATATTTTACCAAAACCCATAATCATGGGTAGAGTGGACCGCTGTCAGTGTCTCTCTTTCCCAAACAAAAGGAAATGATATTACTTTGATTGACCGTTCTCAAATGCAAAATGATACTGAGAATGAAATCGGTCGCTCGCTTTACCCATTCATTTACAATTGTAATAGATTAAGAAGAACTACCCAAAGGCAGCTGTACTCGGCAATGAAGATTCAATAAACTTCAGCTTGTTCAATAAGTAATAACTACCACCCTTGTCCCTTACCCCGAAATACTAGGTATCGACCCGAACGCAACCCAAAGAGATTTTTACAGCATCTGATTGATGTAATCAATCGAAACTTAATTAAACAATTCGTAAGCCGTGAATGAATGGGAAAAGCGAGCGACCGATTTCATTCTCAGTATCATTTTGCATTTGAGAACGGTCAATCAAAGTAATATCATTTCCTTTTGTTTGGGAAAGAGAGACACTGACAGCGGTCCACTCTACCCATGATTATGGGTTTTGGTAAAATTATTTCATCCTTAATGCAGGGACTAGTATTTTTCAAATGGGGGTCACAACGTGATACAAAAGAATTCTAGCCCTAGTAATTTAGCTAAGTTAACGAACATCTTCTTATACAAAAACTTAGAACTTTGCATCTTGACGAAACAGAATTCAGTCAGTTTATATAATTATAAAAAGTAAATTGCTTTTTAAGTTTTCAAAAGAAATTTTCCACATGTTTATGCCTTAAAGCAGTTTTAACGATGGGCCGAAAGTTCTAATTGTTGTTAATTTTATCTACCAAATTCATTTTTAGACAAAATTGAAATTTGGAAAAGCCAACGTGACGACATAGCGAAGTTTCGCAGTCAAAAATTTCATAATACAAGGTATAGCTAAGACTACTATCTATAACGGATTACCGATTATGAAGCAGGAAGGATCTGTACTAGCCAGAGCTACAGGGTCAGGAAGGTGTGCCACTACAATGACACGTGGAAAAAATGGCCCAACTTAGACGTTCAGTTGACCACAAGACCGGCATCTCCCAGAGGCTGTACGATTTGGCTGTACTCAGGGATATATTTCGAGAACGACCAAAAGATCAAGAATTCGCTATTTATAAGGCTATTTTCGGCTCATAATGATCAGAGTAACATGAACACTGGAGAAAAGTAGTCTCCAGGAAAACGTTGACTTTGAAAATTTTCGGCCTGAGTTATTCTCGATACCTTTCTTCCTGGCTTTCTTCAACTCAGACAGCACTGGTAAACCAATCCCATCAACTTCAGAAGATCTGTTGCAACTCCACCCGGAAACTGGGCACAAGACAATTCAGAACGACCATGGCGATTAAAGAATTAACTGAAAGGTAGGTTTATTGAGGAATTATTTCAACAAGATGATGATAACGAAGAGCGGTGGTTGGATGATATTATAGTACATATTATACAATAAGACTCCTGCAGACGACACCTAAGCATAACACTTTAGTGATCAATACCATATACAATGATACGGGTTAATATCTCAACTTTTATTAATGAGTAGTTCAGATTAAATGTTTTATTGTTTGAATTTAATCAATTCTTATCCTATTAAAGCGAAAGAATTTCATATTAGGAGCTTTATTCAAATTTGTATTCTTACGTAGTGGCTATTATTGGCTAAATAAAATACAATTATTTGAATAGGTCGAAAATGTGACTTTAATAAAACACGCTTAAAACATAAAAGTGAATAATTCGGACGATTTGTGAAATATATGAATTATTCAAAAGTCAATAAAACCTAAATGGAATGCTTGTTGGTTATCATGAACAATTTCTGATCTTATCACATCGAGAAAAAATTAATTTTTACTCTATATTAAATTTGTTCAGCAGTCCGACTTTGAATCGGCCATATGCTTGTTATATAATATCAAAGACAAGACTATTTAGATTAATCAGTACTTTCACCAGTTGTCTGACATTTTTCATAATGTTCGCTTCAAATGATCGCTAATTAGTAACGCTAATTAGTAACGCTGCTCGTCAAATATAAGATCTCTCCTATCATCCATATGTTGCATCTACACAAAGTTTCCTTGTGTTTGAAGAAAGCTAAACTGACTCAGGATACATATAAAGGCGTTGAGCGTTGGTCGTTGCTCTCTCGACCAGTAAAAATCCTAGCGTCCGGCAAATTACCAATGATACAACTTCCGATGCTATAGCTTGCTGTATCGCATCTTCTACTATGTTCCTTGCAGCCTGAAGAATAGGTCAGGTAAACGTTAGATGTCAAAATTTATATTATCATGTGAATGTGATGATAGCATGTGCTAACCCAGACAGCTTCAAAACCGGTAACTTTCAGTGTCATTAAATATTGATATCTATGTCTGACAAAACCTCGATTACTTCATCTAAAATAATGAGTGGCGCCCTGTCAAGAGACTGAGAGCATGGTCACGTGACTTACGATCTCGCCACGTGATTACTGAATACTGATATAGTTTTGGACATATGAGGCTGCAGTGTTCTAGATTATAACAGGCGACTTCATAAAGGTTTATAACGGTTTGGTAAATTAAAAAGATCGATCTCGTGCATGGCTGAGAATTAAGGCGTCAAGGTCTTTAATTTCCTTTCCTCTCATAAAGTGCGATTTAAATTTGTGCTGAATCTGAGTCGATTGATTGATTGATCAAAAGCCCTCAGTGACAGGAATTGTCTCAAAAGGTAAACTTATTATTTATATCAGACAAATCGCGTATATTTACAGGAAGCAAATGTTCCTTAGGGGACACCAAATTGTTAGTCACATTTTGTAAGTTTTCACCAAATCTGTGTTTAATCAAGTCAGTACTGAAATCACTCAAAAAACTGTTACCTTCCATAATTTCAATTTAAAGAGAATATCGTCTAGAATCTCGTCGAAATTTTGTTATCACTGAATTTCCTTCAAGATCAAATCTTAGTTATAAGGAATTCACCAAATGTACTTGGCTCTTGATTTGAGTTTGTGCTTTTCAATGTCATCAGAATAACATACCCGTTTATCTAGATACGTGATTAAACCTCCCCCTCTACAGGAAGTTTTTCTCGCACTAGGAGCCTGGAATACAGATAGATGTCCTGTCACACTAGGAGCCTGGAATACAGATAGATGTGCTGTCTTCCTGGCTCCTTTCTTGCTAAGAGCTTGGAGGACAGAGGGATGAAATCCTTTGCTCTTATATACCGTTACTTTAGAGGGTAGAGCTAGTTTCGTTCAAGTTTATCACGTCGTACTTAGCACAATCAATGAAGATATCGTTTTTGTGAATTGAGCAGATGTTTAAAAAGAGGATCCCAAGCTCATCACAGCTTGACCACGAGATATCCACAAAATTGAATAATCATATAATTCATCCCATACCTCACTAGTTTCTCAAAACACACATATCTCATCTCCAAGACTATTTATTAAATTATAACGATAAGAATTACATATTGTGGAATTTTTTGAGTTTTTAGGACAAGTTTTCATCAAAAATAAGAAAGAACAAAAACATGGAGAACAGTATGTAGACTGTAGAGCCTCTTATAAAAAGGGCCGCTAAGGTATTAGCAGGTAGTAACCCAATTAAGGTGAACACTAACCGTAGTAAGCATGTCGTCAGTATCCGAGCACTGTTTCGTCTCACTCTCAGTTTCACAGAGTTCTATCTGAACCGTTTCCAGAGTAACCACAGCAGTAGGGGGCGTGTGGAGGTCACGTGACTTGTTGTGTTCCAGGTGGGGGATACTCCCGTTTGTCTGGGGTGTGTAAGTGGGCGAGTCTGTGGTGGGGTTCTTGAAGATTAGACCTTTCTGGTTATCTTCTCCGAGGTCGTGGGTTTCTGCTAACTTGTCCTAGAGGGGGTTTAATTGATGAAGGACTGAATTCAGGAGGAGTTAGTAAATTATATGGATTAAAAAACATAACCATATACATTATACATAATGATTAATGATATTATAGTTTTACTCCTTAAACAAATGTGGTCAGGAGTAACTGGGACACAGTAACACATCCCCCACGGCCCACTCGGGACCAAGCCTATTCAACACAAGATTGTTAATTCTTTAATTGTACATGAACAAGTTGTCAATTTCAGTTCAAGAACATTTAACATTAAACAAGTTTTAGAGAAGTAGGAGGTGCACTAGATAATGCCCCCACCAGGCACCACCACCATGATACTAGATACTGGTAGGTTAGGTGAAATGTGAGACACCTAGTACCTCGAGATGTTATCCTGAACTAACACTAGAAATTAATTATGAGCTTACTGGTAAGAGGGCTATGCAAACATAAACACTAAACAGATACGAAAGATGAGTTGCGGGTGCGGAGGAGTAACGTTATAAACTAAACTTGATTTAAGAAGTGTGTTTGTGTTTAGCAATTAACATGGGCAGAGAGATCTAGTTCTACATTTCTGTACACCGATTGTTCGAGTCGGAGTTGCCCACAAGTGGTCCCATCAATCACGTCTACACGTGCACTACATGGATGAAAGGCGACCATGTAGTTAATAGTAGGACCAATGTTGGTTAACTGTATCTAATCTAACCACGGAGCCTCTGCCTCCTTGGTCAGCAATGCGGTCTGGGATCTATTATCACGAAGGAGATGTTATACTTGTCGAGACGTTTGTTTATCTCTGGTGGTGAGTTTTTGACCTGTATAATAGCCCTTGTCCGGTAATATTTCATCAAAAAACCAAAAAGCAGCAGTAAAGTTAATATTTGATCAAAATCTAAAAGTGACAAAATCTGTGAATTACTCTTAAACGCTCCGCGGAACTATTCGTGGCGAGACTATTCTTAACCCCATGTGATGCCCATATAAGGAGATATAACAACTGTAACTAACCGTGGTGAAAGTACTCTCCGAGCAACTTGGGGAGTGTTGAGTAGACTTTGAAACTCCCGGATTGAAACTCCCCGTCTCTCCGAATTCAACTGTGGCATATTTAACTTCGGCAACTTCTTCTAGTCTCGGATGCAGGTCAATGTCATGCACTACTTCAAACGTAACCTTCTTAGGAGAAACTTTTTTAACCTTTGAATGGTCCAAGTCAGGTACTGGCACTATTTTAGGTGTTACATCTTTAGGACAAACTTCTTCTTGGTGGTCAAAGTCATGTTCTACTTCAAAAGTTACTTTTTTAGGACTAACTTCTACTAGATGGTTCAAGTCATTTGCTGGCACTATTTCAGGTGTACCATCGTTAGGACTAATTTCTTCTAAATGGTTCAAGTCATTTGCTGGCACTACTTCAGATATACCTGCATCTTTAGGATCAGTAACTTCTTCTTTCATCACGGGATCAACCAGCTTCGCAGCAGCACATCCACGGGGAGGGGCTACTGGCTGCTCCCTTGTATGGGCATCACGTGGGGCTACGGGCTTATTCGTCTGACAAGCTTCTTCCAACTTTGAACGGCCTAATTTGAGAACTACTACAGGCTTTATTTCTTTCAGCTGTGAATGAGTCAGGACTTTAGGTGCTTCTGCTGAAACTTCCTCGTTCGGATGATCCTCTACTGAACTTTTTTCAGATGGAGCATTCAACTTTGAATATTTAATATCTTTGTTCCCCGGCTCCTCCTTTACAGATGGTACACCTTTCTTATTCGACGACTTGGAGTTTTGTTGCCCCATACCAGCTTCTCTATAATACAACCAAACACCAAACTCGACTACCAATACTATAGCGGCAAATGCATTATGTTATCGTAGACATCGGCTAAACATCGAATAAAACGCCAGCTCCAGCCAAGAAATTAATTCTATATGGCATAACCTATGTGATAGAGAAGAAGACAGCAATAAATTATACCGTGCACGGGAAAACACTTTTATATTCACACCTTCGTTTTCACACACACTAAAACGGTAATCTCTAACCGGTAAAAGCCTTGAAGTCTCTAGTACCATTAACTGAAACAGGTACCGGAATATTGCTGTCCAAAGGATAAGTATAGCGGCTAATGTTACGTTATATATAATACCACGTGACAGATTACCTTGATACTGTACCGACGCCATGATCAACAGTCATGAACTGCAGGTCAATCTGTTGACACGAACATTATCATATGATGACACGAAAACAAATACTTGAAGGTAGACCGTTTAGTATACACTATACCATTACCTTTACACCGATATATAAACGATGCAGTTAGATACGGTGAGACTAGGTTGAGGCTCGGCACTACTCGTGGAATTGTTTCAGTAGAGACGCGATTGAGCATCAATTTAAATACTAGGGCCTGATGAACAAATACCGGATTTTTTCAATAATACGAAGTCCCAACTAGTCCATGAGACAAAATTATGGACGAAATCGTATAATTGTAATCATCTATCAAATAACCAATTACATAAGTTGATTTCCCGGGAGCCCAGACATTTTTGAATCCATTTTGATCTCACTTCCGCGGAACAGAAAAACAGGTAAATGGTTAGAAAGTTAGCAATTGTCTGCTGACTGATTGGTGGAGTTTTCTGCTCCTCTGCAAATCTCGGATCAGCCGAACTTGGGATAAATACATGATCTTCAGTTAAAGGCGAATACCTAAGAATTCAGTTCAACAATGACCAGTTTTTCATTTTGCAGAAGTTCGGTCTTCAGAGAATCAAATATTCAGTTGACAGGTGACAGATTGGAATAATGAATGGTTGGTTTAAAAATATCAGTTGGGAAGATACACAGCGTATTACTGGATATCACTATAAAGGTCAAACCGAAGCGGCAGTAAAAATGTAAACTGTTTGTAAGATATATCTCATGTAAAATAACACGGACGGGAATGGGATGATGCGAAGCTCAGCTTACGTCATGTCTTGACGATATAGAGTCACAGCTTCTGTCAAATGTGTAAGAAAATAAGTGGTCGAAATTATGGTCGAAACTAGGAAGCTTGATCGGTTTTAAATCCGCATCAAATATCCAGTTTAGGCGTCTTTATTGTGTTAATAACGACAATTATTTAAGTTGATAAGTTAAAATATATAATTGCTTACGGAAATGAAAACCAATCCAAACATTTTACCGATAATTATAATAATTATATAGTTTTAACGCACACATCCGCGTTTTTCCTACATATGACTTGCAATCAAAAACATCATATTCTGTGTGACTAATCAATTGCGACTTCGTGATGATTGTGCAAGCGTAAAAATAACACACAAAAACCACAAGTACAACCACGAAAGGTAGTTAAGGTTATTCATCAACAAATGAATCGTGCAATCATAGTCGCGGTCTTTATAACTTTATAACTTTATAACTTTATAACTTTATAACTTTATAACGATCGCTTTATACTTTTATAGCTGAAAACATTAAGCCTTACACCTAGCAAATTGATCTAGAAATGTTGTTGATAAAAATGACTTGTTGTATTGAAACTTAAAAGTGGCAGTGCTGTATGAAGATAATCTGGTTCTTTTGCGATAGTCAAAACGCGACAACTAGCGCTGGATGGCGACAACTAGCGCTATCCAGCGCTAGTTGTCGCCATCCAGCGCTAGTTGTCGCTATCCAGCGCTGGATAACGCTGGCCAGCGCAAAATATATATGTTCGATAATTGTCGCTATCCAGCGCTAGTTGTCGCCATCCAGCGCTAGTTGTCGCCATCCAGCGCTAGTTGTCGCTATCCAGCGCTAGTTGTCGCTGGCTATGCGACACTGTCGCACGCGATAGTTTGCGATGGCCAGCGCAACTGGCCATCGCAGAAAACAGTTCGATAACTAGCGCTGGATAGCGACAACTAGCGCTGGATAGCGACAACTAGCGCTGGCCAGCGCTGGCCAGCGCTAAGCGATAGCCAGCGCTGGCCAGCGCTGGCCATCGATATCCAGCGCAAAATTTTTGCGCTATTACTCGTCAGCTAGCGCTGGCCAGCGCTGGCCAGCGCTAGCCAGCGCTAGTTGTCGCTATCCAGCGCTAGCCAGCGCTGGCCAGCGCCAGTTGTCGCTATCCAGCGCTAGCCAGCGCTAGCCAGCGTTAGCCAGCGCTAGCCAGCGTTAGCCAGCGCTAGCCAGCGCTAGCCAGCGCTAGCCAGCGCTAGCCAGCGCAATGTATCAAAATCATATATTACTCGGATGATGATTAATCACTTTACACAAAACTGTCACGTGACTTTTTAACCCATTCTCTGACAGTCTGACTCTAGCTGGTTCTGAACGACTTTTCGAAACCCTAACCCTCTAATTTGATCCCAACCCTAACCCTAACCCAATCCTTAACAAAAACATATGCTGAAACCCTAACAATAACGAGAAATTAGACTAACTTCCTTATACGGTCATATCACGTGATCGATACATGTACAGTTTTTCGCCAATATCTCGTCAGGAGAGCATTTTAACCCTATGTCATGGGCCCATGGGGGTTGATTCGGAATTAGCGTCCGAAAATACATCGATTGAAGTTTCAAGTTTGTTACAACCATCGTGGACCCTTTTAGAACAATCTCGAAGATCGACTGTAGAGTGATTTAGCACGCTCGATATTAGTATTACTCGTCAGCCAGCGCTGGCCAGCGCAATATAGTTGCGATATTTCTGAAATTACTCGTCAGCTAGCGCTGGCTAGCGCTGGCTAGCGCTGGCTAGCGCTGGCTAGCGCTGGCTAGCGCTGGCTAGCGCTGGCTAGCGCTGGCTAGCGCTGGCTAGTGCTGGTTAGCGCTGGCTATCGCTGGCCAGCGCTGGCCAGCGCTAGCTGACGAGTAATAGCGCAAAAATTTTGCGCTGGATATCGATGGCCAGCGCTGGCCAGCGCTGGCTATCGCTTAGCGCTGGCCAGCGCTAGTTGTCGCTATCCAGCGCTAGTTGTCGCTATCCAGCGCTAGTTATCGAACTGTTTCCTGCGATGGCCAGTTGCGCTGGCCATCGCAAACTATCGCGTGCGACAGTGTCGCATAGCCAGCGACAACTAGCGCTGGATAGCGACAACTAGCGCTGGATGGCGACAACTAGCGCTGGATGGCGACAACTAGCGCTGGATAGCGACAATTATCGAACATATATATTTTGCGCTGGCCAGCGTTATCCAGCGCTGGATAGCGACAACTAGCGCTGGATGGCGACAACTAGCGCTGGATAGCGCTAGTTGTCGCCATCCAGCGCTAGTTGTCGCGTTTTGACTATCGCAAAAGAACCGATAATCTAAATGTATGGCAACAACTGTAAATGGCTATTTAATTAGTCTCATATCTTTTTCGGCACCAAATGAGTCATAAAATATACATGCATCTGCAGTTGTACAAACATAAATGCACAAAATGTATTGGAACTTTCTGGCAGATCAAAGACTTTCTCAATAGGTTGCTAAAGTACTAAGGAGCGCAAGATGCAAAAAGAAATGTTTAAGCAGTAAGTTATAGAAGGAATAACGAGGAAAAAAAGTAGCCTAGTGAGCTGTAAATTAGATAATTATAACTTAACAAATAATAAATATGGTTTGTTAATGGCTAAATTAAGTATAAGTAGGCCGTGTAAGCTGAGAAAGTTAGCTTACAGTGCTTAAAACCACTTTATAACGAGCGTTAAATCTCGTGGACCACCCAACACGCAACTCTGACTCACGACCAATACACTGCAGGGTATAATCTGAGTACTAAAATACGACTGATTAGTAGCTACGGTCGGGGTGATCACTCACTACTCTCCTACCACAGTGTGATTACAGAGCTTCGTGAGTATTATTATACACAGTGGTATAAGATTATACACAGTGGTACACATCCCAGATATTATTGTCTAATGTAGTACCGTGATAATATTGTGCGATGGTGTACATTGTATTGTGCAATAATGTACGCCGGTTATACTTAAGTTACACAAGTCATATATAGTTCATTGTAACAAAGAAATTATTTGATTATAGAAGGCACGATATACCTGCAACCCTCAAAGTTATTCGGCTACAGTTGATTAATGATACCGCAATATATATATAATATTGCACAATGTACACAGTACAAGCGAGAGAAGACACAACAAGCTGGCACACTAATTTACTGGCAGAAGCCGCCCTTGTCAGACCTGTCGTGATAAGAAGCCAAGTAGTAATTCCACAGCAGGCGGATATTACAACTGTCAGGACTTGAGATGCAGAGAATTGCAAACTTTACTGTGAACTGCCACGACACTACAAGCGGATTTCTGATGACAGTACGCGAGTACGAATATGACTAGTCACTAAATAAGAGGGGAAAACTCTGGATAATGTGGATTGTGGAGTACCAAAGGAGGAAACCAAAACCAAAGCCAAAACAGAGTTATGATTTAAAAAGAAGGGGGAGAGGGGTAGGCATGTAACACAGTTATTAAAAAAGTATGAGTAGAGTATGTATGTACTATTTTGCTGTCTTTTGTCGCTGCATTCTACTAGGAATAAGTATTGGTTGCTAACAAAGCCACTATATAATAGACCAATACGAGATTTTTCTTACTTCTATGAGGCTAATTTGGATTATGGATTTGGTGACAAGTTTAACTAAAAGGCAACTCGACAAGTTTAAGCAGTATTTTAGTATTGGCCCTGATTTCGCACTTGTAGTTATATTTAAGGGCGGACAAAAATTTGGTACAATAAGATCGCTTTGTTGAAATGTCTATCGATCAAATTTAGATCAATTATGACCATAATCGATTTTTTAACCGTTTATCGCAGTTACCGGTATCATCACTAATGCAAGCGAATGGCAGATTATAAACTGTTTTTGTTTTATCATTATGGTCAAGGTAACTGCAGCATGAGTTAATATTGAAGCCTACAGTTAACTGGTGAAGCGACCGCTTAACAA